ATTGAACTACAGAGACGCACACTCATATCATGACCTTATGCAGTTGCGAGCACCGTAAAATACTTTCCAAAACAAATGAACAATATAAGAGAGTCACATATGGTTCGATCATCACTCAAGAATGCTCCTAAAGACCAACCAGCACTATGAGTACTATGAGCCTTCGTAAGACTAGATATTCTGGCTTGAGAAACAGCAAAAGACCAAGAACCCAGGACCTGACCCTCCTTCAAGCCACTCGGCTCACAGGGGGGAGAAATGAATGTATTATATTGTCCCATGATCCTCTTGTTAGAGATTCGAACCGTTGTCTAGCCAACTTTCCAATATTTCATTTCTTATAAACATTTGTATTGTAAGTAGCAGTTTCTTGAGTAAGTACAAGAGAATGGCGTATAGATACAACGTAACAAATTGACACAAATGATCTTTAAAAATAAGCAAACAAGATACAAACATATAAAATATGCTAAAGAATCCTTGTCAAAACAACAGAACTGAAAAGGCACAAAACGCTCACAATCCTCAAAGTCAAAGTTTGAGACGTTCTTTCTACTTTCTCTGAGCTAGACCGTTCGTCCTCTGCACATTACGGGTAAAAGTTTCTTCTTGTTTGACAACTGCCACAAGACAAAGACTGGGTTTTTCCCCCCGAAGGGAGAGTATTTCCAAGCTCAGAAGAGACCCCAAACCCAAAGAAAGACGACAACTGTAGCAAACAGGTTAAATGAGAGAAGAGTTATAGGGATTTTTGAGATACTGAAAAACATGGATGACCAAAATTAGCTGTGTACAATGACGGTCGAATAGCCTTCTTTTACTTGTACTTTTATCCACCGCTTATACCCTTTTGGGTGTCGCAGGAAGAAAGAGACGTCTCTCTGCCACCAATCGGAGAGCTTGGGTCAGGGCGATGCCATGAATAGCCTTCTGAATACATAATATACTTGTATGTTATTATAATAAGAGTTAGTGTTGGGTTGGGGTTTCATTCCTCAGTTCATTCCCAAGTTCACCATCACAGTAGGCTACTATTGGTACCATCTGAGCCCCCAAAAAACCCCCACCTTCTCAGATCTGATTAGAATAAGAGACATGATAAATACGAGGTAAATTAGATGTGACATTACTCTAGTCCCTCTTTACACAAAACGATCAGTAGACTACTTGCTCAGAGAGTATAATCATAACCATTCACTTCCCACACCTAATCTCAGAAACATGGGCAAATTATAAAATGAAAAGTACAAAATAGAATTAAGCATCTTGCACATCGATAAACTAAGACTTCTTAACGATAATACCAAAAAAAATATAATCGTTTATATAGATTACATAAATACTCAGAAATGCCTTAAAGCTTTTAGTGGCACAAGAAGAGCAAATTATGTAGAAAAATAAACGCAAATGGCGGTCACATCTCGGAGCAAAATAATAATTGTAGCAAAGACTTGCATGGCATCTCAGAGCCCGGGTTTGAGGTTCACAACAGTCGTTAGAAAAATAATTATGTTTTTTAAACGTATATATACAAAAGCAAATGAGTATAAGGCATACAAAATTAGGAAAAATTCAGAAAATGTTTTACAACGAAAATAGAAATAAGGCCAGGAATTGCGTCCTTATTGGTGCATTGAGGAAGAGGAATCTAGCTTCCATTCCACCCCCCCCCCCCAACCCCAACCAACAAAAGCATACAAAAAAGCAGCACACACAAAATGAAATAAAACATAAGAAAAAAAGCGGTAACCAAACACAGAAACGTTTTATCAATTCAAGAAGGTCATAATTAATAATTGTGTTTTTCTGTGAGTGCAAGACCATCTACATACAGTGACGTGGGTCATCGATAAAATAAATAGATAGATAGATAAATGATTAAATAAATAAATAAATAAATAAATAAATAAATAAATAAATAAATAAATAAATAAATAAATAAATAAATAAATACATAAATACATAAATACATAAAAATATATAAATCAAAAAAAAAAAAAAATAAATAAATAGATAAATAAATAGAGCAATGAATGTAGACAGGCAAGAGGGGGCGGCCCCTTCTCATAGAGGGACAGTGACAGTGTTTTTTTTAATGCAGGTAGGGTTGATTGAGGGAAAATCTCAATGTGCTCTATGAAACTCTTTAGAGAGAGAGAGAGAGAGAGAGAGAGAGAGAGAGAGAGAGAGAGAGAGAGAGAGAGAGAGAGGGGGGGGAGGGAGAGAGAGGGGGTGGGGGGAGGGAGGGAAGGAGAGAGAGAGAAGGGAAGAGAGAGAGAGGGATGGAGAGAGAGAAGGGGGGAGAGGGAGAGAGATAAGGGGGAGAGGGAGGGGGAGAGAGAGAGAGACAGACAGAGAGAGAGAGAGAGAGAGAGAGAGAGAGAGAGAGAGAGAGAGAGAGAGAGAGAGAGAGAGAGAGAGAGAGAGAGAGAGAGAGAGAGAGAGAGAGAGACAGAGATCAAGTTTGAGACTGAGATTCCAGGCGGAAAGGAGGAGGGTTAGAGAATGGTCACATTGAGAATATTATATATTGAGGAGATTCCAGTGAGAAGGTAGCACCCAAGAGAAAGATTATTGCACTACTAAAACACGCTCTCCAAGACAAACACAACATCCTGACTATGTGATCTCTCCTTTTAAACATAAACAAGAAAGTCAAGATCAGAAATGAGGGAAGTAATTGTCGAGTTTTACTATAGTATCCATACGACGTGGGGAACTCTGTGCCACCACTTTCCAAAGGGGAAATTTTACTCGTTAATCCGATCTGTACGTTTTGCACAGCAGTCTGTCCAAATTTTTATATTTTTTTTGAAATACTGAAAATTTCAAAGAGATCTTCGTACTACAAGAATTCTAAAATGTGAAGAATACAACCCCGAGGGTACAAAATGACCTCAAGGCGTACGGATAGGGTGAAGATGGTCTGTCAAGATCCAAAAAGCCATTTACGTATCTAGACGCCAGGGAGACAGTAGATAAAGGTGATGGGACTAGTAAGGTCATTGCATTAGGATCTCTCGTGGATATAATTATGCGACATATAAATGCAATTATCATTATAAATGCCAAGAAACACTGGTGATACGGTGTTCAGGTGAGTGGTCATTAAGGGATGTTTCATTAAGCGAGACCATGGTAACGTAGGACCAATACAAGCCACTACACAATAATTCTGTGTGAGACAGAATAAGCTATGTGTCAAATGCCTACTGTAGTATACATGTATACATGTAGAGGTTTCAGTTTGAAAACGAAACAAGAACACGCCATGAAACATAGGCTACATGTTTGTTTTGTTGTGGTTTGTAAAAAAAAATCACTCTGTTTTGATAGCTTTGTGAAATAGATTTTTTAAAAATGAGACACGATTCACACTAAAGAGGTTATAAATAGAACAACTATCTATAACCTCATTTTCCCACCATATTTGAGAGTTTCTGTATCAGACCTTCTGTTGTTTCTGCCTTTAGCAGCACATGAACACTTGCTGGATATGTGTACGATAAATCAATATCATTGTTACGTATAAGCAACACATTATATTCAGCTGTATTTCTTGAACTAAGGAGGACCATTTTTCACAAAACAGATAGAAATCATTACAAGGAAATAATTTATAGATGATATGTGATATATAGTATGTACAACACACTACAGGCACTGAAATAAACCGAAGTAAGTGGAAGACCAAAAAAACAAACAAGGAGGTAAACAAAAGTCAAAATAAAAGTACATCGAGAGACATGCTTTTGGGGCAACTGTGGTTTTGCTAGCCTGTGCAACGATTTGAGATACGGTACATTAATTGTTTTGGAGACAAAATATATTCTTGTATTAACACCTGAAAGTCCCCTGTTTGATTATACAGAATATATGGTCACTTTTAAGGACAAGCGGGCTAACCAAGATTTTGGGGTTTTCCAGAAATCTTGACCTACACCAAAAGTGGATATTGCCCTACCTGTAGGAGAAGTTTGGTTTCATTGGTGTGTAAATTTCTTTGATTATAGAGAAAACTCTCCGTAACTTTTAAAGAAACTGAACAAGGGGCAAAAACTTTACCTTCTATTTCCCCAAAACAGCATTTTTCGGGAAAGCCCCCTTGTGCTTAAAAGCGACCATATTATGGAAATGATAATAACAGAATGCTACCTTCGAATTACAAAGTTTTATCAGACATTTTTGGCCGTTTTGATTTTTTTTAAACCACGAGGCCAGAAATCAAATTATGTTCTATCTGCTCTATCAAAATCGCAAGATTATGTGGAGTCGTTGTCAAGATATTCAGAGAATTGAATTCGAAAAAGCTTGACCTGTTGTGAAATTCAAATTTTTTAACGTCAAATTTCCCTAACATACCGGTACTGAGCAGATATAACTTTATAATTCTAGGGTAGTGAAAGTCGTGAGAGAAGAAAACAGTTTTGATTTTGTCATCTACTAAGCATTGTCCAGCCAGATTGTCAAGATGGGTCTGTCGTTTTAGCTCAAGGCAAAACATGTACTAAATAACCCCGACTCAGTACCATCACATATTTTCATAACTGAAATTGTAGGCTACCAAACATACGACTAGGTAAGGTTAATCAAAAAGTGACAAGAACTTATCACATGTCTACGTCACAAATGATATGATTAATGTTACAGAAATGGTAATAATAATAATATGTGAGGCAGCGTGGGAAATCAGGCGCTCGTCAAAATAATGAAAGTCAAGAAATTGGCATTTTCCCTCAAGTTTGGGAATTTTGATCGAATTTTTGTTGTTTTTTTGTTGTTGTTTTTTTTTGTTCACCACCTTTCATACGAATTAAAGAGCACATTTCTGTGTGGATTTCACTGGAAAAACATTGATTAAAGGCATAAGAAATGTAAATTTTCAGTTTCCACGGACTCTCAAACTAAAGAAACAACTCAACTTTGGGGGCCATTTTCTCGCTAATTTTACCTCTGAAACCAGATGACGCTCACCTCCTTCAGTCACACATACTATCTCGTCTTCTATTCAACATAGATGGATATTATTTTCACCCAAAACAAGGAAAATGGATAGGTGTTAAGCAAGATGATACCATCAACTCGGTGTGCCCAAAAAACTGACGAGAACCGGATTCCACCTCGTCGTGCCTCAAAGATAAAAATCCTAAGACACGGTTCTGTAATTATAACACCAATTTGTCGCACCAGTGGAATCAGTTGTATAATTATGATAATTTGGCTCCAAATTTTGACAAGCGTAAGTACGTCCGGTAGTCCAGTAGCATAGAGTCCACGTCTCGTTCACTGGTAGAGACCCTCCTCCTTCCTCGGAGGCTGCTGCTCTTTGACCTCTTCCTTGAGTCCCGAGATGGAACTTTCTGGAATGGACGCGTCTCCGGTGTACTCTACCATAGGTCCGTAGCCCTGAGCCTTCCTGTTCTCACGGCTGTTGTGAATGCCGTACACAAAATACACCAACAGGCCTAGTGGGTGGGAGAAAGGGGGGAAGAAGGGGAAGAGGAGAGTAAAAGCAATTTTAAAATTGACTATATTTGAAGATGGATTTGGAGGAAGGAAAAAGGGGGTGGGGGGTTGAAGGGTGGGAAAATATTTTTAAAAAACAACAACTTTGTTAGCAGATGGATTTGCAAGAAGGGAAAGAGAAGGTGTGTGT